GCGTCAACGTGCCCCAACACTATGATCTCATCCGTCCGGCTCTGGAAGCGGGAAAAGACGTTTTCTGCGAATGGCCATTAGCTCGCAATGAGAAAGAAGCAGAAGAATTGACGGCGTTGGCTAAAGAGAAAGGTGTCAGGACCATGGTGGGCTTGCAAGCACGCCAGAACCCATCAATTCTGAAAGCGAAGGAGATTGTTGAGTCGGGGAAGCTGGGCAAGATTTTGGGGACGACGATGTTCGGCCATGTGAGTTCTCATGTCTATCATTTTGAAACTGAATGGAAAGCATATGGTCTATGCGATGAACAAGCTTGCTAACGCAGAAAACAACAGGGCATGATATTCGGCGGCACAACTATGCCCTCTTACATGTACATGCACCCCGTGGAAAACGGCGCAAACATCCTCACTATTCCCTTCGGCCACGCCATTGACGCTCTATGCTACGTCTTTTCCAGCGAACTACGCTCCATTTCCGCTGTGCTGTCGAACAGATACCCCGAGCTCGAGCTCGTAGACGAGAACTACAAGCCCCTTGGAGAAAAGAAGGCGAAAACCTCTCACGACTTCGTTTCCATCACCGCAGAACTCGTCAACGGCGGCGGAAATGTCGACGTGACATATGCGCCAGGTTTTTCACGCACCGGACGGGACTTTTACTGGGAGATCATCGGATCCGAGGGTACGCTCGTGTTGGAAGGACCGAACGGACATGTGCAGATGTTCCAGCCTACAGTCAAAATTGCCCTGGGCCAAGAGGGATTGAAAGAGGTTGAGGTCGAGAACGCTGCAGACCCTTCGTTCAATGTGGGTAGGGCTTGGGATGCATGGGCTGGAGAAGGCAAGGGCAGTGTCACGACTTGGGAGGAGGCTGTTGTGAGGCACAAGATGATTGAGGCGATTTATCGGAGTGCGGAAAAGGGAACGAGGGAGGACTATGTGTGAGCGGCCAGATCAGAGGTACATCTATAGGTATGTGTAAGAAGACTGGAATAAGAAGTTGATAAAGTCGGGATAAACAAATAGAGTTTAGCGTCAAAATCTTCGGCTACATCCCGGCTTCAACGCCTCCATCGCATCTCCTCAACCATCACCATCCCTCCCATCGCCAAAACCTTCGCAATCCTCCAAAGAACCTCACTCATCATGTGCACTAATCCCCAACCCCAGGAATCCTCGATCTTAGATGCACCCCGCCCCACCATGCCAGACCTACGGCCCGCCAAGCCAGCGCTTGCCTCGCTTCCACTTTTCGTTACGTTATAGTTAACAAGGCCGCACGAGCGATCCAGTGAACTTAGTCAGGCATGTTATGAACCGTGATGTCAGCGAGAGTCAGGTTTTTGTCTGCACCTCGCATGGTGGTGACCGCCGAGCAAAATGGGGCGAGCTTGTTGTTGGTCTCCCATACTCCACTCAACTACCAAGCTCCCAGACAACATCGGTTCCTTGGGTTTGGTGCTTGTGAAAGGCTTGTGTTCTGAGAAGGTCTTTTTTGGCTCATGCGAATTCTGAGCTCTGGGGTCATTGTGAAAAGAACCAAAGGAAGTTTCACGGGCAAAAGGCGCGTACCGCTGCGGATAGCTGCATCTACGCGTCTGGTTACATGAGTCGCACTCGAGTTACAACAGCATATTAACTGTGATTGGACTGGGAAGGGGTGTGAAGGTGTGTGTAAGCATTGGGTGACTGCTGCTTAGTCGCACCCTCGCCTCCAACAACCCCGACGTATAAGCCAGACCCGGCAACGCTAGGTCCGTCTTAGCCGTGGCCTCTCCTCCTTCATGGCTTCTCCAACACTGCCTTCGACATCTTCGGCAAGTCTAAGCTCGCAGACGACAGAGAAAAAGCGAGATCATCGACCGAATCAGAATATATCAGGAGCATCTACACCACCGCCCACCTCAAAGTCCGATCCCACATTCATCACCTGGACCTCACCAACAGACCCATCCAACCCCTTCAACTTCTCTCCGACGAAGAAATGGCAGACTACCCTTCTAGCCTGTACCATGACCTTCGTCGTCCAAGTCTCAGGCACAATGCTCACATCCGCCGCCGAGCAAATCAACACCAGCTTCGACGTCAGCGATGAAGCGTTTCCGCACTCGTACTGGCCGGTGTTAAGCTGGAACCTAGGAGGCGCCGCAGCACCATTGCTAGGACTACCTCTAATGGAGAACTTTGGTGTGCGGTGGAGTTACATGGCCATCTACGCGGTATTGATCATCTTCATCATCCCGCAAGCGCTGGCCGAGAACTTCGCGACGTTGATTATAACGAGGATTATTACGGGTTCGTGCTCGGGTGTCCTTGCAAATATCACATCGGGGATTGTAAGCGATATCTGGAGGGATGGGAGAGCGAAGAGTTTCGGGACGTCGCTTTACATCTTCGCATTGCTTGCGGGGCTTAATATGGGGCCTGTGTTTGGTAGTTTGGTTGTACAGCATACGACTTGGCGATGGTAAGTCATGTTTTAGTTGCTGCGCGGGACTCTGGCTAATCTGGATATAGGATCTTCCTGAGTCAGATCATCTTCTACAGCGCTCTTATGCCGGTACTGTTCTTCCTTCTCCCTGAGGTGCGACCCGATGTCATTCTCGCCCAGCGTGCACGTCATGTTCGCGCAAAGACGGGGAAAGAGGTGTATGCCCAGGCTGAGAAAGAGCACACAAGTTTTGGCGAGATCCTCAGGGAGACGCTCGTTCGACCAACGCGTATGCTATGCACCGAAGGCGTCGTCCTTTCCTTTGGACTGTGGAGCGCTTTCTGCATCGGCACAGCTTTCATGTTCACGCAGTCCATCGTACAAGTCTTCTCAGAACTATACGGCTGGTCTTTCTTCGGCACAGGCCTCGTGCAATGCGCCGTCGTAATCGGGGAGCTCATCGGCCTCATCGCATCTCTAATCCAAGACCGCATATACTTCGCATCTGCGAAACGCAACATCGAAACTCCAGGGCAGCCGATTCCAGAAGCGCGACTCTATCTCAGCATCCCAGCTTCGTTCATCGGTCTGAGCGGTGGACTGTTCTACTTTGCATGGACGTCCTACTCTTCTATCCCATGGATCGTACCCAGTATATCGCTCGCTTTCGTGGGCTTTGGTATGTTCTGCAGTACAGCGGGAGTAACGACATATGTGGTTGATGCGTATGCGAAGTATGCTGCGAGTGCTATTGCAGGCATTGCTTTCCTTGAGAACTTTATGGCGGCTTTCTTGCCGCTTGCGACGCAGAGTATGTATCGTACGTTGGGGTTTAATTGGGCGAGTAGTCTGTTGGGCTTTATCGCGTTGGCGTTGAGTTTCATTCCGCTGATTCTGTTGAGGTTTGGGAAGAGCATACGTGGGAAGAGTCCGTTTATGAGTGAGGCGGGGTATGGAGACTGAGTATGCTCAAACTTTTAGTAGATGGGAAAGGAGAACACACAATACAAGACATATCTTTACATAATGAATGTGCCCATATAAGTCGTGTGATTGAAAGAGCATAAATGTCTTGGTTGTGAGATGTGTTGCAGTGGCATGAAGCAAAAACTCACATGCGGAGGATAATTGGCGTATCAGATGGACCAGATGCAACACCTTCACTTCATCGCCGGAGCCAGAGCAATCGCAGAAAACCTCAGGTCTCCCCCTTTCTCAGACTCAATCCTCATCAAACGCCCAATACCCTTCTCCAACGCAGCCGGACTAAGCACATCCTCGTCCTCCCCCAACACACCCCGATCAAGCGGACCCATGCGACCACCTTCAAGTTCCCACAGGTGCCCATCTTTCGCCTTGACGAAAGCCACGAAATGCTGACCGGTATGTGCCTCCTCGATCTCTGCAGGTGGTGCAGAATCTCCCAGTTTCACGGCGTCTGCGTGAGCCTTCTCGAACGCGTCGGAGTCTTCGAGCACTCCCGCGCGCTCCCAGATGGGCTTTGGTAGCGCGTCTTCGCGGATCTGGGCTAGTGTTGAAGAGGGCTGGATGTGCTGTGCAGCGTCGCTGTTGAGCAGACAGTGTACCAGGCCTATGCTGCCGCAAGCGTTTCCTATGGTCTGCTTGAACCATATGACGGGTTCGGCGTCGCCTTTACCCTCATACTCGGTCTTGTCCTTGTCTTCTGTTGTTCGGGCCTCGTCCCAGGTTGGTGTCAGAGGAATGATGACAAGTAGGGCTACCGCTGGTCGCGGGATGAAGCTCAACATGTCGGAGTCAGTGAGTGAGTAAATATCGTAGAAAGAGAGCGCTGTCGTGTCCAGACCGAGGTCTTGAGCCAGGTGGTTCATGACCTCTGGGTTGTTTTCCAGGACGTTCCACATCTTCTTCGGCATCTTCTGCGGGGTCTCTTGCGACATTTTGATGGGAGTTGTGGTTGTTCAGGGATGCTGGGGGTTTGAGATGAGCTGGCCAGTGTTTAGTAGACTTCAGGTGTGTGGAAAGGTTAGCTTTGATGAATATGCTGCTTCCTAGGCAGCGATCAGACGCGTAACAGCGACATCCAGTGATAGGCAGCCATGCAGGTACGCTGCAGGTAAGTGGAAGGGCGTACAGGGCGGACAAAGGTGGGGAAGGGATCAGGCCCGCCAAAAAGGGAAAGGCCCCGCGCTAACCCTGAGTTAGGCGCGGCTGGCGGGGCATCATTCCCCGCGACGGCACCATCTCATCAAAGTTCAGACAACGCATCATCTTACAAACTTGACGTATGAAACTGCCTTGTGGATACTTACTGTCTACCTATAGTCGAGTGATGTTTTTCCGCAGTCGTCCATTGGTGCGGACCTCCGATCAACCTGTAGGGCACACATGCTCTTGTGCCATCCGCCGGCTCTCCGCAGTAGTGAAGTCCAGCGCTTACATTTGAGCCTCTTCATCCACCACACTTCTTATATGACTGACCTAGGGTCTCTCCGCGCATCTCAGCTCACCTTTACCTAACAAACCCGCGAAAAAGACACTCAACTCTACCTACCTCACCACTCCAGATTCTCACTTTCGAGCTCACCATGGACGACGAAGCCCGACAAGCAATGGCAAGCATGAAGATGCCACGCCGACCCATCAACTTTGTTTCCGCAAAGCAAGGCGAAATACTCAAACTAGGCCAAATTACTTGCAGAGTCATGGAAGATGGATCGCGAACAGACAACCGCATAGGCTCTGCAGAGTTCACACTGCCTCCAAACACACCTGGGCCGCCAGCACACTGGCATGAGATGCACGACGAGACGTTCCTTGTAACCAAAGGAATGGTTCGGGTACGTATCTACCTTCCCATTCATCTCATCCTGCTTCACCAGATCAGACAGCTAACTCTCCTCACAGTTCCACGCACCCGACGGCGCCATACAAGATGCCTACGTCGGAGACTACGTTACCGTACCCATCCGCGCACCCCACACCTTCTCGAACCCTACAAACGAAGAGTCCAAGTTCTTCAACACGTATACCCCCGCGTTTTACATCGATTACTTCAAGACCCTGGCTGAGATAAGTAAGACGGATGAGAAGATGATGAAGGAGAAGAACATCGAGGTCATGGCGCGGTATGCGACACTGCCTGCGCCTGCACAGGAGATGATGGAGGAGAAGAAGTAAAGGCTGAGAATAGCTTCTCTTAGATGATATAAGAATAGTGCTAGGAATACAGTCATGCGCATGCGATGCGCAGGAAAAAGCTACAAATAGACGCCGGAGCTATCAATACAATCCAGAAGTTCCTGCCCAAACACCGCCAGGGCCAGCCCAGGCAACATCTCAAATCACAGTCGTATCCCCCTCCTCATCCACTCTACAGATACTGCACTCCTGATACAACTTTGCGCAAAACTCCCTCACCGTCATGTCCGCACCCATATCCATCCCAATAAGATGGTTCTTCATGCAATACCACACCCACTGCCCACCACTCGCCTCATCCCTCCTCAAGTAGTTCTCGCCCGGGCTCCACGTATCCAAACTGAATGTTATGCCAGTGAGCTGTGGCCCCCGCGGCACGGTGTCAGAGTACTCCGTGCCGAGCATCTTGAGTGACTGGGAAGCGTGGTACCAGATCCAAAGCGGATTCCAGAGGGGATCGCCGAGAGCTTTGGCGTCGAGAGTAAAGGTCTTGACGTTGGACATGTGTTTGAGTTGCTCGCGCATGCGGCGGCCGAGCGTCCAGGATGAGGATGTCATGGAGCGCGGGTCTGTGACGCCGAGCATGGAGGATGTTGTGACGAGTTTGAGGGAGCAGTTTTGCACTTTGGAGAGCAGGTCGGGCGAGATGTTCCATACCCGGTTGTCCTGTGTTGATGGCGCTGGGAATGCAGATGGAGGGATGGTTGTGGCGGGCTTGTATGTCTGGGGCGTGACGCTGAAGTGGAAGGTCTTGCGCTTGCAGATCATGTCCATGTATTCTGAGTAGACTTGCTTGTTCGCTAGGAATATCCATTTACTCTCGTGTCGCACAGGCGATGATGTGGATGTGGATGTCCAGCGCGCGGGTCGCATCCAGTTCAGCGTTGAGCGCTGGATTTCGTTGCGCGCTGGTGGTGGGTAGATGGGATCGTCAAGGAAATGCTCGTACACCATATCCCGCAGCTCTTGTGGTAGGTCCAGAAATCGGAACGGCTTCTTGTTCTGGTATTGCATCTTGCGGTACTTTCTGAAAGCGAAGACGCATAGTAGGGGAAGTAACAATGCGATGAGGGTGATCCAGCCCTTAAGCTCAAAACCAGCGATATTGTGTTCTGCAAGCCATGGCTGCCAGCGCAACAGCTCGCTCGTCTTTATCGATGCGGATGCCATGACGATGCTCATGGTAAAGTGTGGGGTGCCGTGTAATTGAGCGTGCCTAGCACGCTAGCGGAATACGTGCGATGCGAGGAACACGATGGTGCCAGGGGCGCTGTCCAGCTTCCCTCACACAACGGAAACAGCGCGGGACTACGGGTATCGCGCGATGCTGAAACAATAGTCCTGCCTTCGTATACGGCACTATCCAATCGCCGAAGCGTTCTGATCGGTCAGACGACAACTCCGAAGGGTGCCGCGTTGTTTGGCCGCTCGCACAAAGGGATCGTGCGCACACGCGTGATGCAAGACTGAGCGATGAGTCGAAATGAGATGATGGGTGGAGGTGCAAACAAGGGAGGTTGTGGAGGAATGCGCGAGGGGGAGATTCGCAGCTGAGTAAGATAATCAATACTGATGCCTTGCGGATACGACTGATGAGGCAACCTGAAACGGGTCGCCTGGCGCCGCAGCTGCTAACAACGACATCGCCACGTTGACACTATCGTCAAGCGGCACCGCGTCAGACTTCCATCATCTCCGTACCTGACGCACGTGTTCGATCATAGGTCGCACATATCAACGACGAGAATAGGATAGGCACTTAACAGAAGACGCGCACGATGGGCGTTGTGTGAGTAGAATCTCGTTATTCTGTTAATGCCTGGCTCAATGCACCTTGGAGGAAGGTGTATGCTACCTAACACGATGCAAGTCGTTCGACAAGACTTCCAGCGAATACTTCTTAGGTGTCCTTTAGTGCCATCTCGAAGATGGCTATGTCCGACGCTCATTTGGCGACTGAACGCCGGCACGCACTCTACTGTCGATCACTCCTTCCTGACCACCACTGCCACACCGATAGTCTCGAGGAAGCGAACTTCTGCAGACTGCTCAAGACGCTGCTTGAATCCCATATCATCTCCATATCCGACCGAACACACAACCTCAACTCGTTCCAGGTCTGGAAAGTCGGTCTTGGTCAGCTCCCCTAACCAGCTCGCGAGCTTTAACTTGCGGTCCCCGTCATCTGGCCCTGGAGATCTAGGATGAGTGATGACTAGATTTCGAATGCAACGAGGTAGCAGCTGAGACGGGCTGGATCCTGCAGGTCGCTGGAACTTGTGACTATCCACCAAAGCACATTCGGCTATCTGGATCCGCCGGAGCTGTACGTATGACCTGACGTCCAGGCGAATAGTTGAAGTATCGCCGAAATGTACAGGCTCTGCGTACGTGAAGATCAGATTCTCGACTGAACGTCCCCAACTAAGCAATGTCTGTACGACGTGTGGGTGAAATGACCCCGTATTCCCTGAGACTGAATGGCCGATATGGTCTCTATCACTCTGAGGAAATCTGGGGTGGCCCACATCCCACATATACGAACCCAAAGTCAATGTATGGACGTTTGGGAGAAATCCGAGAAAATTTAACGCTCCCCGGAAGTCGACGTCTTGAGGTTCGTCTTCAGCTTCAATTGTGAGAGATGTGATATTGGGTGCTTTGGCGTAAAACTGTGACGGTGTCTCCAACCTCGCCCGGATTCCTACACACAGGGAATGTAGTGTAGGTAATGTAACGACCGGCCAGTCCAGGTAACCATGAGAGAGGTGGATAGATGTAAGCTTCGAAAAGCAGGGTAGACGCACGAGATTTCTTACGGGAGTCGGGAGTCTTCCGAAGACAATCCCCTTGATCCCACCTTTCCAATAAGGAAGGCCATAGTTATCAGGATTGTCCAATTCGGTCATGCAGGTGTAGTCGTCCAAAGCGGTAATGGTCAAAGAACGCAACTCGGTAAGACGAGCAAGGAGATCGCAAGCGAGCTTCTTCTCGTCTACTTCGACTACATAGCTTCCGGGCTTGACCATTAGAGAGACGGGCGACACGCTGGAATACATAAGCTGTGGATACTCGACAGGTAGCGAACGCGGCAGGAACCATAAGTCCTGAACTTTGGTAGCCAGGTGAGGCTTTTGTTTGATGGTCCAGAGAAACACGGCGAGAGCAGACTTGGTGGGACGGTCGAATGTGGACTCGTCATCTGAACTCTCTAAATATTCTGAATTTTGGTCCTCCGGACGAAGGTCGACAAAGCGGTAGAGGACATCCTGCGCAGCCTCTGTGTAGCGCTTCGAGGCGCGTGCCAAAGAACATAGACCCTTGTATCCCAGACTCTCAGCCACTTGTATCATAATCTCGACGGCGCATCTATCGATGTGGCACTTGCCGGGTGTTGGAACGGAGGGGTCTTGCATCGCGAGCATACCGAGTGCGCTGGTAAGACCGGCTTTGTGGGGTGAGATCGCTGATCCTGCGGTATCTGAGGCGGGGTTTGAGAGCGCCATGGCAGTCAATTGGGCGACAGAGACGATGCAGAGTCTGGTGTTGGAAGTCGCTCGGTAGTGGTAAGTGGTGAGAGACGAGGCGCGCTAGCGGTAGCAAACGCGAGAGCATGGCCCAGAAGGGAAAGTGCGGTTGGACACCTTGTTCATCTTCACCACGGGATACGATCGAGGACTTGTGGATATCAAGCAAGAGCCGAAAGACATACATATAACCAGATCAAGTTGAGAAGGGTGTAGTTTCTATTTACAATCTGGGTTGAGTTGAATGGTATCAATGTGGAGAAGTGATTACTTCACCACCGTAGATGTTCCGAAATCATTCCGAGAGAGGAGAGTGTAGCCATGAGCCATATCTGACCAAACCCATCTTTACCGCTTCTTTATGCCGTATCGGATTTCTAGCTCATCGATATGTCGTGAAATATCCTCCAAATCTTCCCTGATTCGAGTCAGAGCGTGAGTTTGGTCGTTAATCTCTTTGATCTCTTCAATCAACTTCTGTTGCTCTTCTATAAGTCCCCGGCGATGCCTGCGAATAGCCAGGATGGTTAGAATAGGCATGTTCCAAGGTTGCATTTCTTTGGTGTTGAAACGTTGAGCGGATTCTTATGAGTCAGTAATGCCTAAGACCAGAGGTCAAGTACTCACTGGTAACGTTGGTGGAGGATAAGGTAAGGAGTAGGAAATACTTCCTAGAAGTAGGTAGCCATTTGTACGTATGAGCGATAGGCGACGAAAAGATCTGTTACAGAGTGTGACTTTGCAAAACTTTTCAGTCTCTCTTTATTGCGCTGCTGCCTACGAAGTATTCAGGGTTCGCGACATGTTAACCATGGTACACAACCACCGGGATTGCAATCAAGACCCTTTACGAACTTCAAGCACGGAAACCAGCACGGAAAAGTCACATCATGAAATCTCTATAAAGACAATGCGTTCATTTCTTAGACATTAGAAACTACCAAATTATTAGGTATTATCCTCAACAATTACTTCTTCCCCCTATTACTGTCCCAAGGAAGGCTTAGTACCCAAGCTGACCCCTAACAGCACCAGCAACAAACTGCGCAGTGTGCGAGTCAGTGAAGAAGCCCTTGGGGTTAGCTACAATCTGCTTAACGTGGAAGCCATCAGCCTGATCCTTCTGGGTAGTCGGGTTGATGACGCCAACGGTGAAGGGACCCTTGAGGCAGCCAACGGAAGTGCGGCGCTCATCTGGGCCGGTAGGGTTGGGGAAGGCCTGTGAGATGTGTGTTAGTAATCGTCTCAAGCATGCGGAATGCAAGAGGAAAAGGGGGTAAACTTACAAGTCTGGGTGGTCCAGCCTTGCCCTTGACAGCCTCGTGGATGTGAGTCGCAGTGAGCGCTGGGGACTGGTAGTCTCCAGTTACACCGCTCAGGGTGATGTTGTAGCAGATGGTGTTCTCAGCGATGTTGATGCCATATTTGAAGAGGCCCTTGGCGCCGGGCTGGCCGGGTGCAGGTGCGCCCGTGTTGGCGATGACCTGGTCGGGTGTGGCCTTGACGACGTATTCGGCGTCGAAGTAGAAGAGCTTCTCGTTCTTCTTCCAGCCGTTGTCCTTAGCGTTCCATTTGGCCTCCAAGTCCTTCTTGCAGTCGGTCTTGTAGTCGTGCTTGCCGGCAGTGGGAGCGGCGAAGGCAAGGGGAGCGGAGATGAGAGCGAGAAGGGCGGGGGTGGTGAAATGCATGGTGGATGTTGTGTAAGTAGCGGAAGCTGTAGGATGGTATGTAGATGTAGTGAGGAGGATGTGAGATGCTGATGAGAAATAAATGAAGCTATCCTGTGCGGTCCTTTATACACATACGGCTCTCCACTTCACCATCAGAGCTCAACTTCGTTTCCCTTCTGCCCTGGTCCGATGACATCGGTGGACGACGCACTGCAAGCATGGATCGGTGGTAAAGACTCTTGGAGATGGACACTGGTGTCTTGGTGAAATCTTCAACGTAGCTTTCGCCAAGTCAACAGTATGATTTGAGATCATTTCCGCCATGGCCGAGCCCGTACATGCGATGTAAGGCGTGACCCGCGGTATGGGTAGTGGTCTTGGTATCTCCATTTTGCTGACAAGAACTTAGACGGAAGGAGTGAACCCCGATGCGAGGCTGCCGTCTGCATGAATCTGGCCAACGAGAGTTGAGCCCATTAGAAACCTAGCATGTGCGCCCAATGAGCACAGCGCTCGAACGAGCCGTAGAAGACGCCGTCCACCGTCTTGGTAACGGAAGATCCCATACTTTTGCAAGGCGAGCTTGCATCCATCAAGCCCACGATCGCCCCCAAGATATCGCCTAGCTATCTTGGTGCGGGTAGAGTAAGATCCGTACTCTTACCCCAGCTCCTGATCGGGCTTACTCCTTCACCAAGTCTTCCTTTTTGAGCCATGATCGACCTACCCGCGTGGCTGTGCTGACGCTGCTTGACAGAAAAGGGACTACGTGCCCAAGGCGCTAGCTTGTGTTGGCCTTAATGTCGACCAAACGTACTCGTAAGGCGCTATCGTTTCCCCAGAGAATTGAAATAGACCTTCGGGTCTCGATTGATCTTGACGTTGGTGTCCGCAGCGGAGAAGTTTAGTGAACTTCTTAGGTACTCTTGGCTGCAGCACCGTAAGTGCCCTGGAAGAATGCCACTCATCACTGAGTTGCCCGATGTGGTGAATCAACGTTGGTCTTCATCGCAATCTGCTGTAATGCCGTGTATGTCTGGTGAACTGTCAGACTTTAGTTGTGATGTTCAGGAAGAAGAAGCTCCCGGTGCTTCCAGCTGACAGAATGACATCACCAGTGGACGAATGCCAAGACCTACCCGATAGCGGCCTGATCTCCGCCTTCCCTCCACACACTTTCCGCGCACTACCGAGTTGTCAAGCCGGGCTCGGGTCCCTAGCAGCACGACGGTTCAAACGCCCAGCCAACGTTGTTTATGGTTTCAAGTAATCACCTCCAAGGAATCAAAAAATACGTCGGCGAGCAGTTTGTTTATGTGTCTATTTCTTGGTACTTTAGGTCCAGCTCGGGCTTGGGATGCTGGGTAACTGAGCCGAGTCATCCGCTACTCTACAAAACCTCCAAATCCGCCTGACTAACGAACCAAGTACCATTGTTAGTATCAATAGTCAAGTTCGTCTGCACCGTCTTTCCTCCCTTCAAACTTCCACTCTCCACCATACCACCAGCGACAGGCCTCTGTAGCCTATTCTCTCCACTCTTGACCGTAAAGTTGGCAATAGGAATTTCCCAGCCGTTGCGCGTAACCACAGTAGGCAGGCCGAAGAAGTTAGCGGTCATCTCGTCGTGGGTGAAGTGCATCTCAAAGTAGCCGCGGTAGTAAAGGTCCTGCCACTGGAGCTCAGCGTTGGAAGACTGGATGATGGAAGAGTAGTTGTTGGCGGTTGCGAGGGTGATGTTCGCGCCGTAGGGGCAGGGGGATGTGACTGCTGAGCCGGCGAACTCGACACCGATGCTGCCGGCGCCGGTGCTGGAGTCGTAGTCCTTCTCGTCGAGCCAGATGAGGTCGCTGACCCATGAAGCGTGGCTGTCACCTGCGAGGAAGATGTTGTTGTTGATGTTGTTGCTGTACAAGTGGTTGAGCGTGCGGTTCTTATTCGATTGGTAACCATCCCATGCATCGTAGTTCAGCGGGTTGTCTTCTCCGTAGGCAGCGGATTGGTTGACGCGCGAGAAGACGATCTGAGATCCGACGATACGCCATGTTGTGCCACGCTCGGAAGACTCGGAAAGACTGCGGTAGAACCAGTTCTCTTGACGGGAGCCCATCAGGGAGCGACCGGCATCGTTGGAGATGTCGTGAACGTAGTCCGTGTTCCAGTAGAGATCGGTGATGGAACGATCATATTGACGGGTATCGAGCATCATCAAGTCGACAAGCTTTCCGATGGAGAACGAACGCCAGATGCGCAGATTATCGTCCATGTCGACTTGACGAATGGGCATCCATTCGAAGTAAGCACGAACAGCGTTCATCTTACGCTGGTCGACTGAGACACCACCGTCGCGGAGGAAAGAGTCTTCAGTGTTGTTGAGTTCAGACATGCCGTCACGGTAAGTGTTGTCCGCAACCTCGTGATCGTCCCAAACAGGAATCCAAGGGAATTGCTCATGGCTAGCAATGAGATCAAGGTCGGTACGGTAAGTTGCGAGCCTCCTTCGGTAGTCGTAAAGAGTGAAGATCTCACGGTCTGGCTGAGGAATGCGGCCAAGCGAGTTGCCCCAGCCGTAATCTCCATTCTTGTATTCATAGATGTAGTCACCGAGATGAACGACGTAATCAACGGAGTCCTGGTTTGATAATTAGCTCGGTAGAAAATATGACCAGTCTCCAGTACGCACCTTGCGAACGGTGTTTCCGTAGGCGTTGAAGAAACCGAATGGGTAGTTTGCACAGCTGTACACGGCAATGCTAACATCGGTGATATCGTCGTCCGCATTTGGCGTGGTCTTTGTACGTCCAAGAGGACTCTTGTTCTCCGAACCGCACACATTGAACTGGTAGTAGTAGTTCGTGTACGGCTTCAAGTTCTTGGCCTCGACCTTGACGGTAAAGTCTACGTCAGAGCTCGTGAACACCTTTCCAGAGTCGACGGTTGTGGAGCAATTCTTGTTGTCGTAGACTTTGTATTCGACACAGACTGGTGCCTTGGAAACCTGGACGTACTTCTCGTTGTCGTGGTCGAAAAGAGGTGCGTAGCCGGTGACCGTGACATTGGACTGCGAATTGTCGCTTTGAGGAGCGACGCGGGTCCAGAGGATGACGCTGTTGGGGTATGGGTCGCCTGAAGCGACGCCATGGGTGAAGTTCAAGCTGGAGGCGGCATAGGTGCTTGCTGGGTCGTTTCTCTTGACAACCTTGTGGATTGAGACACCTAGGGCAGGGTGGTGCTCCGAAGGCGAGCGGTAGTTGATGTTCTTCGACCAGCTAGCGCTGGCGATAGATGCCAATGGCAGCAACGAAAGGT